GGGAGGAGGTGCTCCAGGTGCCAGAGCAGAGATTCCCTACAGCCTGTGGCGAAGACTGTGCTGATGCAAATGGTCTCCCTGCAGCCTATGGAAGACCATGGTGGAGCAGCTACGCACACCGCAGCCCATGGAGAACCCCATGATGGAGCAGGTGGATGTGTGCTGAAAGAATTTTCAGCCCATGGAGAGGAGCCCAGGCTGGAGCAGTTTTTCAGGCAGGACCTGTGGTCCACAGGGATCCCTGGCTGGAGCAGTCTGTGCCTGAAGGACTGTACCCAATGGGTACAGTGCTGAAGAAATGCAGGCTGTGGGAAGGACCCACATTGGAGAATTTCCTGAAGGACTGTAAGCTTGTGGGTGAGGCCCAATGCTACAGCAGGGGAAGAGCATGAGGAGGAAGGAGCATCAGGGATGAAGCCTTATGAATGCGTTATGAAACTCTGCGTCCTTACCTTCACCCATGAGCTTTTCATCGTAGTTTCTCCCCTTATCTTCCTGATGGAGGAGGAGTGAGAGAGCAGCTTGGTGGATACCTGGCAGCCAGCCAAGGTCAACCCACCATCGGCAGTTTAAAAAACCATGAGCGGTGAGAGCACACGTAGAATAGCAGTGGTTCAGAGCTAAGCTTCATTAGCCACAGTTCCCTCTTGGCGGAGGACAGTGCTGTGGTGATTTCTGTTCTTCCACTTGTACGCTTTTGGCAAGACTTCTGGATTTTCCGGCAGGCAATAGATGAGACTGCAGTAGCTGCAAAGAGACATTTCCACCCATCAGAAGGGATGGATTTACATGTTCAGAAAATTCTCTCTCCCACAGAATGGCAGCCAATTCCTGAGCACAAACTCTCTGGGGGGACCAATGGTGCAGTCAAGAGATCTGTGCCCACCTGCACCTCCCTTGGGAAGGGCACTTAGTACCCTCATCCTTGCGGATCGTTTCACTGCCCCCATTTATGTGCTGACTGCCTTCAGCTCCCACATGCTCAGCACCAGTTTCAGGCCTCAACACATTCAGCAGCTACTCTTTGTAATGCCCTTTTATTTAACAGAAGCAAAAATTAACTAAAAGCTGGAAGGACAGTGAGGGGAGGATTCCAGTAACTTCTGATGTAGCTGCCAGAGATCTTACTCTGTGCCAGTTGAACAGCAAGTTGACAACAAGTCTGTGGTGAAAGTTACAATACTTTAAAGGACATATAATCTGTGCTTTTCAAAACTCCAAACCAGGAGCAAAAAGAGTACCAAACATTTTTTTTTTCCTTTGTGCGGAAGACCAGTCTCCTGACGCTGACCAATATGATCTCCAGAAGCCGTTTATTATAGCTTTGCATACAGCTTTTATACTCTTCCAAGTCCCGTACACACAGTCATGTAGACTTTTCTAATTCGTACATGCTACTGTCTATCCAGCAAGCATATAAGCAAGCCCCTAACCCACTCATTGGTTATTTCATTATCATCGTCTTACCCTACTTGCAGTTACTGCTTCTCTACTCTAGCAACTAAGCATTTCCCCTTTAATAGCGTCCCGTACACTGGCTAAGCATTTCCCCTTTAAGAGCATTCCAACCCTATCAGAACCTGATGTCCTTGTTCTGCTAGGGATGTATCCACAATTCCCCCTTCTTTGTTTTATGCTAACCAAACTCCATGCATAGCCCTCTTTATCATATCAGTTACACAGCGCAATATTATAAGAATTAAAACTAATATAAGCAAAACAGCT